GTGAGTTATTAATATTGGATGCCTGTGTGTGTGTGTGTGTGTGTGTGTGTGTGTGTGTATGCGTGGGTGTGGGGGTGTGGGTGTGTGGGTGTGTGGGTGTGTGGGTGTGGGTGTGTGAAAATGGACCAGAACAAAGTGAGTTGTTACTGCTGGTCAAATCAGGACGATGAGAACAGTCTTTGTTCCTAATTTGTTTTAGGATTTATTTGATCCCATCTGTGCCATATGGTAAGGGTTTGTACAAGACACATCTACAATATGTGACAAGCAAGGGACATGGAATCATCTGAGGTGAATGTCACATATTCTCTGAAATACTAAGATGCTACAGTACATTATTACTGTGTGCACTTGACCTCGGCGGTTAACCCTAAAATGTCTGAGACTCTAAATTGTTCTGTCTTAGTTTCAGTGGTTTTATGTGACTATACTAGTACTCCACTACATTTCAGAGGGAAAATATTGTACTTTTTACAATATCTTACAGCTATAGCTACTGGTTACTTTTCAGATTCCTATCTAACAAAACAACATGATAAGCTTAGAAAATACAATGTAGTGATAAAAAGGTTAAACTACCAGTAGTTCTCAACATTGACGTTGATGATCTATGGCCACACTAAATGATACATCGCAATAATTAAACTGTTCTACTTTTAAATAAATGTTTAAATTTAATCTAATGTTAAAAAGAAGAGTCTACAGCCATGCTAGCAGCTCTTAGAGGCACAGCAACGTGCTCACAATGAAAATGTTGCAGGTGCTTAAACAGTTACAATGTGTATCGTGGTCACCGTCTGAGCATGTCAGCATGCTAAAAAATAACACAAATTACAGCTGAGCCTGAGGAGAATGTCAGTAGTTTTATAGGCATTTGATCATGAACCAAAGTACTGAACAAATGATCTGATGTTTATGATGATGATGATGATGATACAAGAATAGGAATCACCAAAGTGATTACTATTCATCCTGAGAGTAACGTGAATGTGTGAATCACATTTTATGGCATACACCCAATAATTGCTGAGACTACTCACAGAAAACCACAATGTCAACCTCATGGTTGCCCTACAGGAAAAGGCAGAGATTGCCATCTATGGAGCCATGTTACTGGTACTGATAAAACTGATTTAAAGGTTTTCCACTCATTTTTTAAAATCTACATATTTAATGGGGAATAATAAAAAAGAAAAGACATATTTTCTAAATAAAAAAGCATGAATCTGAGTTATTCAGTCCCCGGTACTTTGAAAAAAACAGTTACTTTTTTTACTTGCCCATTCCAGGGTTAATGCCCTGTAGCTCCAGCAGCTGAATGAAATATAGCAGACACCGGGTTTTTACCAATCTTTCAAAGTGTGTACGGAAAGTGCTCATCTGTCAGAGAAAGTCTACTAATTCCCGATAGCAGGACCAAAATGGGCAATAAGAAGTGTAATTGTATTACACTGAATCAAAGACAAGCTGAAACCATACCAGGGAACAAATTAATTACTTACATTCTTCAATTTGTTATATTGAATATCCATCAAATGTGAAGTTTCACATTAAATATGTAAAAAAGCCACTCAAAAGTTGTGTAGGAAATTAAGTATGCTGTGTCACCTACAGTTTCCCTGCTTATATGATCAGCATAACATCGTGCAGCAATTCATCTACCATCCATCAAAGTGCATATCCAATCAAGCTCTCATCCTGTGAAGATATGGCTCACTTTCAAACTACTTTGAAATACACCAAAATGAATGTACAGGAATATGTGACCAAATTAATAAGGAAATAAAGATGATATATGTGTATTTGTTATACAGGAGAGAGCTCTAGGCGAATATGATTGGCATCAAAACCCAATTTCTTGTAAGAGTTTAAGTGGCATCTCATCGTTTGTGAGAGGTTAAACTATCGGACAAATCCATTTTTCCCTGGCAGTGTGATCCATCAAGCAAACTGAGTAATCGACCGTTGTCGGTACATCAACGCAGATTAAAACAGGAACTTATTAATAATTCAATCCAACAGGCCAACACTAAAAAAGACAAATTCTACCTCAGACAGTTCCTTTCTAAAGGATAAATGACAATTAGCAAAACAGGACAGGACACAAAGCAGATATCAGAGAGAGAACACTCTTTTAGTCTCAAGGGGAGTTTTAAAGAGAAATTGAGGAAGACAAGGTTTGAGAACTTGCAAATAAAGCAGAATAGAAGCAATGACTTCCATTCATGCACATAATTTAATTCAAAATTCATGGCCCACATTTATGGGGAGGGAGGAGGATTGGTTTCACGGGGTGGACTATTCCTTCCTGAAACAGATACCTGCTTGACATGCTGCCTGCTCCTAGGGGTTTAAAACTGCTCGACTGAAGTGCAGGAAGGAAAGAAAGCAAACAGCAAAGTGCAAGGCACTGTGGTAAGCAAAACCAGGGGAAGTGTTCAGGTCTTTTACATAAGTAAAAGTAGTAATACAACAATGTAAATTAGCAAGAATACTCTATTACAGTAAAAGTTCCTCATTTAAAACCTTACTCAAGTTAAAGTAAGTAAATAAAAGTCATCAGCCATAGTAGTCATTATACAGAATGGACTCTCATACTGTTATATGCATATAGAATTATTATCACTGAAGTAGTTGGTCAAGGTGGAGCTGTTTTTAACTACTTTACATTATGTAATAGGAAGTTTAAAGTTCTAATCCTTCAGTTCATAAAATAAAACTATACTATTTAGGGTCAGCATTTTTCAAAAGTTGCCTTTCAATCAATTTATAGTCTATGATTTCCTCTTTATGTGGTAGATTTTTTTTTTGTTAGTGGCGGAGTCCGCCATTCACAGGCTGGGTTAAAACTGCCTTCACATGTAAAAATCGACTTACAGGAAACAATGCACGCATGTAATCCAATGCTACTGTTTGTAATTTAATCAACATCAGCCTTACTGTTTAACTGTTCACTCTGCTACAACTGTATATTAAATTACTGCTAATGCAAATTGAACAACTGAAACTTTTAAAACGACTCAATTCCAGAATAAAATTACTGTATAAGAGAATTTTTTTTCACTTAACAATGTACGAAAAATAGGCAAAGTAACCAGTAACTACAACTGGCAGACAAATGTACTGAAGTAAAACGTATTAAGCAGCATGAAATTGAAATAAAATACAAGTACAAGTACCTCGAAATTGTACTTGAGTATAGTACTTGTATAGTACCTATTTTTAAGTTCCATTCCACTACTGGGAGGGACACATTATTGAATCAACAATGGGATTAAAGCCACTTGGTTAAAGTGCTGGTCCAAGACCTGCAGACCGGCAGCTTTATCTGTAATATGACGAAGCATCATGGGAATATAGGAAGTGCGGAATTCAGACACCATCCGCCATGTCAGCAAGCAACCGCCGTGCTGAGGTGACACTGACCAAGAGTAGATCTCTAGCTGACT